TACTCAGCAGGTACAGAGAGAGCAAGAGGAGGGTGTTGCCCTAAATAAAAATCCAGCCTCCCTAAATGAAATTTTTCTCCAGATTTCTAGCATGGCAGAGAGGGAGACCTTGCAAATCCTTCAAACATTATTATTATTATTATTATTATTATTATTATTATTATTATTATTATTATTATCCCACCCCTCTGTGGACGCATCGGGGCAGCTTAAAAACATTAAAAGTACAATACAAATACAAATGCAATATAAATCCCACAAACCCCACCCACCCCTTAAAACAGAATTAAACGATAAAAGAATTTAAAACATACTTAAAATAAGTCAAAGAACACCAAGCAGCGATAACAATAATCGTTCTCATTCCCTTGGAAACGTTGCTGTTGTCGTTGTTGTTGGGTGCCTTCGAGTTCTTTCCGACTTACGGCAACCCTGTTGCAGGGTTTTCTTAGCATGATTTGTTCAGAAGAGGTTTGCCCTGGCCTTTCCCCAGAGGCTGAGAGAGTGTGACTTGCTCATAGTCACCCATATGGCCAAACTGGGGATCAAACCCTGGTCTCCAGAGTCGGAGTCCAGCACTCAAAGCACTATGCCACACTGTCTCTTGGAAGTTGGCCTGCCCCTTTTCTTTGGACACCCAAAATGGTGCATTTTTAAATTATTTCAATGGTGAAAAGAAAATGTCATTGGAAGGGGTCAGGGTTTTTTATTTGGCGGGGGCCAAGCCTTTATTTTGCCCACCCGTCTCCACTCCGACATCTTCTCCGAACTTGGGGTCCCCCAGTTTCTGGGATGCTGAGGTTCCTTTCCTTTCTCTTTCTCCTAGGATGGCACCCGGAATAATAGCCTCTCCACCCCTTACGCCAGCTCCGAAAATCTTGTTAAGATCTCTTTGGTAAGTGTGTGTACGTGTGCATTGTGCGACAAGAGAGTGATCGCAAAACGGCAAAGAAAGCATCCCTGTTCATGCTCTTTTCATGGACATCTCCGGCGTACGGGAACCGGGGTTTGCAGGGTCAAAGCTCCAGGATTACTTGTATGGACAGGGGCTGTAACTTCATCTGCCCTCACCTTTGGGAATGTTTTATTTCCTCTGGATTTAACACCAATCCCTGCCCCACACATGCTGCAGCTGCAAGGAAGATGATTTTTGACACACTAGTGGTTGTAAAGTTGCCGCTGTCGTAGTGCAAAGCGTTTTGCAGCAGTAGCTAGAAGAAACCGGAAACGCATCTCAAGATGCGAACGAAATTCATGGCTTCTAGGTTAGATTTGCTCTCGGACCCATTTATTTGCCTTTTTAGCTGTCCACAGTATCCGCCGCACTCTTCTCCAGCGCCACATTTTGAATGAGTTGGTTTGCTTTCTTCACAACAACCATGTGCAGAAAACCAAAATCATAGAATCATAGAATCCTAGAGTTGGAAGAGACCCCAAGGGCCATCCAGTCCAACTCCCATTCTGCCATGCAGGAACTCCCAATCAAAGCATCCCCGACAGATGGCCATCCAGCCTCTGCTTAAAGACCTCCAAGGTCTTTGGCACGATGGACAACCCTGGTGTTTGCTGGTTTATCCTTGTTGTTGTTGTGTGTCTCCAAGTCATCAGTGACTCATGGCAAACCTATCATGGGGGTTTCTTGGCATGTTTCTTCAAAGGGGGGGTTGCCATTGCCATCCTCTGAGGATGAGAGAGTGTGACTTGCCCATCATCTCCCATTGTTTGTTTTTTTATGCTTGAGTGGGGATTTGAAACCTGGTCGCTAGGGTCGTCGTCCGACGCTCAAACGGCGACACCGCACTAGCTTTTGCTGAGCTTAATCACAGTTTTTCTGGGGCTGAGAGAGTGTGACCCACCCAAGATCACCCATTGGCTTTCCATGGCCGAGCAGGGATTCGAACCCTGGTCTCCAAGGCCATAGTCCAACACCCAAACCACAACAACATGCCGGCTGCTAGCTTTACATTTGAGGATCTTATCTAGTTCCTTCATAGCTGCTTTTCCAAAAGCCAACCACTTCTGAATGCCTTTTGCATCAAAAGCCCTACAATGAGACAACCCAAACTATGCATTATTCCCATAATGAATTTTTTAGAAAAGGAATTAAGTAGTTTGATTTCTTTCTCCCTGACTTTGCAGCTTGGCTGTTTTACTTTGAGTCAGGGGTTTTGACCTCTTCTTTGGTCCTATTGAAAAGCATTGACACCCATTTTCACCCTCCCTCTTTTTCTTGTTTTCTTGCAGATGTCCAAGGATCTGGATTCGAATCACCACCCGCCAGAGCAGGAAATCCTTCCAGAGGAGTCAGGTGAGAGCTGGATTGTATTTTTCTCTTTTCCTTGACTGAGAGCCTCCTTTCTCTCCAAAGTGAGAGATGATGGTTGCAATCCTAGGACAAAGCATCTTGAGCCCCGAGTGCAAATCCTTCTTTCAATCCTGATGCCTTTCATAGAGACACATGGGAGAAGGCATTTTTGGGTGGCCTTCCCAGCCTATGGAACTCCTTCCCACAATACATTAGGCAGGCTGTTTTTCTGTTCTCCCCCAGCTTGCAAGCAAAATCTTAGTTTTTTTCCTCCTAACTGGATTTTGCAGGAGAGCAAAAACCTAAGATTTGGCTTGCAAGGTGTTCCGTGAATGGGAGTGTGTGATTTAATCCTCTCCCATTATGTTTGAGATGCTTTTAAACTGATTTAAATTAAGCGCTGATTTCATCAAACAGCTTATTTAAATGCC